TAAGCGACAACTTTTTTTTCTCTTTTTTTGGAGACAGGTCTCATTTTGTAGTACAGGCTGGCCTCTGACTTGCAGTGACCCTCCTACCTCAGCTTCCCAAGTGCTGGGATTATGGATAGGTGTGTGCTACAACATCTGGCTAAAACTCACAACTTTTTGACAATGCCATATGTCAGAAGGAATTTTGAACAATGGCAAAATATAAGAATGAAAACTCCTTAGAGCAGATTATGCTGATTTCTTATAGTGAAGAAAAACAGGATCTTATTTACAATTACATGCATGTTGATAACTTCTCATTATGAAGGAAATACAAATCATTCTCTTTCATCTCACAGCAGCAAGAAGGAGAAAGCATGACATTTGATCCCAGACTGGACCATGAAGGTATCTGCTGTATAGAATGTAGGCGAAGCTACACCCATTGCCAGAAGATATGTGAACCCCTTGGGGGCTATTATCCATGGCCTTATAATTATCAAGGTTGCCGTTCAGCCTGCAGAGTTGTCATGCCATGTAGCTGGTGGGTTGCCCGTATCTTAGGCATGGTGTGAAATCCCTTCATACCTTAGGTGCTATCAGGGAAGAACTGAGAGTGGACAACCAAGCAGAATACGGCATGTTCATGCCAAGCAACACAAAGTATTTTATACTCAACCTGAGCAATGTTGTTCTAGACTCTTATAAAAGAATCTCTCAAATGCTTTCCAGAACTTTGCCTAGTGTGTATAAATGTACTGAAAGAACAGTTTAAGTCTATAGTGCCATAGTAATGCCTCCGTTATTTGCTGTTGTGACAATAAAGCCTCCTATAAGTCTTCCTAAGGTATTATAAAATAAACATGAAAAAATATTTAAATTGTCAACTGTACACTTGAGTTCCAAGTCACAAACAAAAACACAAACAAAATCATTCGTCATTCCACCACTTGTACAAAATTCAATTGTTCTTAACTTTTATTCTTCTTCCCAGTCTTGCAAATGTACACTCAAGAGTATCCAGAAAGCTGGTTGAGGTGGCACATACATGTAATCCCTCACTCAGGAGGCTGAGGCAAGAGGATTGTCACAAATTTAAGGCCTGAGCTATATAGTGAGTTTGAAGCCAGCCTGAACTACAGAGTGAGACCCTGTTCCAAAAAAAAACTTAAAAAAAAAAAAAGAGTATCTGGAAAAAACATACAAAGGGAAATAGATGATATAATGGCATCCACCTTAAAGTAAACATCATTAAACGTATGTATGGCAGCTCATAACAATTCTTTATAAATTGTGCTAGCATGTGATTAACAAGTGGCAGCCCTATGTTAAGAGTCACCTCTGGTAAGAGTACTAAAGAAAAATCAGACCTTTAGGGAAGAACTTTATTGGCATCTGAAAAGCAGAGCTTCACACCTTTTTTAATCTGTTTCCAATAAGCAATCAATGAGCAAGAAGCAGTATGATGATTTTTACCTTTGTAGTACAAATTAGGGTGTTGATGTAGTCCAATTACCAATAAGTTACTTTCTTAGTAATAAGCTGCCAGTGTTGCTTGGGAGATACGGCTGAGACAGAATAATTTATTTATAATGACATGAAGGAAACCCCTCAGGAACAAGAACCATCTTTAGAAACTAAAAATTTAGATCAGGAAGATGAGTAGATATTTTGTTTTTTTGACATTTTAGTTTTGAATCTCACAGTTGAGAGTCTAACAAAGAAAAACATTCCTAAGGAAAATAGTTTCCCAAAACAGGATTCTAAGATGACAGAAAGGTTTTGATACCATACCACATTTTCTAAATACTATACATCTTTTACTATATGTTTGCCAATTTAAATCTGTAAAAAGATACAGAATTTTTTTGTTTTGTTTTGTTTTTTGAGACAGGGTCTCATTATGTAGTTGAGACTGAACTGGAACTCACTATGTAGAGCAGGCTGGTCTTGAAATCACAACGATCCTCCTGCCTCAGCCTCCCGAGTGCTGGGATTACAGGCATGTGCCACTACCCCCGGTGAAAGATGCAGAATTTTAAAAACCTGATAATCAGATAAGCCTGGCTATCAATTACCTCCACTTAATGATATGTACTATTAGCTTGGTCTCTGAAGAAAAAAAGAATGAAAAGACATACACTGTAATGATATGTAATGGTCACACCATTCTCTGGTATCACTTACTTCCTGCAGTGGAATTTTGCATGCTTAGTCTGTAAAATGGCCACCATTCTATTAACAAAGCCAAGTACATGCCAACAGTTCTGTACATCACCTCCTACCTCCATGGTTCAGCAACTTGTACTGGGTTCTACAAAGAACAAAAAGATCACAAGAGTAGAGATAACAAGATTGACTACACCATAGTTTTGATGAAGATGTAAGCAATGGGCTTCTTGAAGAATATGCCCATTTAAGACCTAAAAGGATGAATAGGTGTTAGCCGAGTGAAATAATGGGGATTCCAAGCAGAGGCAATAGTTTGAGTAAAGCCAGAGGTGGGAAGCTGCATAGTACAAATGGAAACAACATTCAGGCTGAGTTGGGAAACATTTGTACTAAACTGGAAAGGTAGGTATAAGCTATGCATAATATGGCTTAACTTTAGAAAAAAAAATTTTTTTCCTTGGTAGAGAGGCAAGAGGGAACCAACAGAAGGTTCCAGGCAAGGGAGCAGGTGGCTAGTTAAATTTCCATTTTGGATCAGTTTCCTTGGTAAACTTTTCATGTGTGAACTGAGCAGGTTCTAGACAGGTCAAGGGGTCATGTTAGCAAGAAGAGCACATCATAAAGGAAGACTGCCTCCTGAAAAGATGCACCCCTTTCAAAGTGCTATAATTAGCTGGGCTGGGGATTTAGCTCAGTGGTTCCGCTGTCTGCCTCGCAAATGCAAGGACCTGAGTTCGGACCCTGGTGCCAAAAAAAAAAAAAAAAAAAGCTTACTCACTCTCAATGTGCCATAATTCTTAGAGGAAAACACGGATGGATAATATAGTTTTTTTGTTTTTGTTTTTGTTTTTGTTTTTGGCTTTTTGAGACAGGGTCTCACAATGTAGTTGAGAGTGACCTGGAACTCACTATGTAGCCCAGGCTGGTCTCGAACTAACAGTGATCCTCCTACCTCAGCCTCCAGTGGTGGGATTACAGGCACCACACCGAGCTTGATAATACACTTTTTAACAGATAAAGGGATCCTGTAATTATGAAGTCACTAAATACCCAAGGGTATTAAATTTAAAGAAAATATATTTGGGCCATGTATGGTGGAGCACGCCTGTAATCCCAGCACTTGGGAGGCTGAGGCAGGAGGATCACTGTGAGTTCGAGACCAGCCTGGATAGTGAGTTCCAGGTCAGTCTCAACTACATAGTAAAACCCTGTCTCAAAAAACCAAAAAAAAGGAAGAAAGAAAGAAAGACTATATTTGGATGTTTCAATGGCAGAGAGAAAACTCAAGGTTGCATTAAGGGTAGGAATGCTAGAAGAGTCCCAAATTGTGTTGAAGGACGAAAAACTTAGAGGAGGAGCAGATACAGTGGAATAGAAAGTTCTTCACAACTTGGTGCTGATGCCTCAGATTACCTTTAATCAGACCAGTCCAAAAGTTGTAAACACAGCCCAGTTTGCTGTGCTAATTCTTGACTGAAATGTCAGTATGTGTAGACATATGTATTAGTGATATTTAATACTTTAGATGTTTTACAGTGGTGGTATAAACCATTTCTAAGGATCATTTTAGCTTAGCTTTCAAGGTCCTAGTTTGACTTAGATTGGAAAGGTGGGCTATTATAGCCTTAGATGTGGAGCTCAGCCAGCACAAGGAAAATGAAACTAAGGTATTGCTAATTTCAATTATGTGTAATTGTTCCATCACATTAACATACACTATTGAAAAATGGCAACAAACTTCCATTGAACAGGTTTAAAACCTGTAACCTCATTCTTACAACTGCCCTTCCAACATTATCTGAACCACATACTAGAAAGGTAAATATACTAAAAATAATAATTTAAAATTTATCAGATTTTAATAGATTCTGAAATACAATTAAATTTTCTACAAAACGGGAATCCCTTTTGAGTGGAATTACTCAATTTCTGTGTATGCTGAATATATTGAACATGTATTTTGTAGAAATTGTCAGTTTTTAAAAAGCTAACTCATTTATTGAAAGGGTGAAGGGAATTGACAAAAATCTCCATGCATAGTCTTAGCATTGTATCTCAAACATAAAGAGAAACTTAAGTCAATGATATGAACTTCAGCAAAAACATTTTACAGGAAGAACATATTTTAGTGTTTATAAAAGCAAGCTGAATTCTTTTTAAAGGGCTTTGTACCTATATGCTCACATTCTGCAGACCTATAAGGTTGTGCTTAATTTTGAAAGTTCAATATATTAGTATCAAAATTGTAAGGCAAGTTAGTGTTGACAAATTGGACTCACTGTTTTTAAACTGCTATTAAACTGCTGTATTAAACTGCTATTACATTTACATAGTTTTAGGTATTTATTGTGTGAAGGTAAATATATCTACATATAAATGTATTTATACATACATAAATACATTTAACCTAAACTTAGCAAAAAGGTAATTCTATTTTTTAGGGTGTTTGGATTACTGAAACTTTTTTACATCTTTTAAATTTGAAAACCAAATACATAGAAGTTGGATTCTATTAGGGCATATGTTATCGCAGCATGATAAAAATCAAAATGGGGCTGGAAATAATATATCCATTCTAAGCTGAATTTAATTCACTAGTTAAAGACAAATTTTTTAAAAGACCAAATTATTAAAAATAATTTGTGTCATACCCCAATGAATTTCTTTGTATTTAATAACAATTTACAATTATATGCCATACATCTGCTCTTTCCTTTGTGCCTGCTTCTTTGCAAAAATTCTGAATCTTCTATTTGGATGGCTATAAGAAAGTCTAGAACAAATATCTTTATATAATTGGGGGCGTATTAGGGATTGAAACCAAGGGCCTTTGCAATGAGCTATATCCCCAGTTTTTCAAAAAATTTTTTGAGACAGGATCTTGCTAAATTGCTCAGGCTGGGATCAGACTTTCAGTTCAGTCCTTCTGCCTCAGCCTTGAGTGCTGGGATCACCGATGTCCATCACCACACCCAGCTCCTACATAATTCTTCTTTTGTTGTTTTGTTTGGTTTGGTACTGGGGATTAGGACCTAGCACTTGCAAGGCAGGCACCGGCATCATTATGAGAATCCCTGGCCTTCTACATACTTCTAAAAAAGAAATAATGCTGTTAAAGAGAAGTTGTTTCTTTTCCATTAAAACCATATTCCTTCCATTTAATTAACTGAGGCAACTATAAAACTATCAGTAAAAAAAAGATCTTCACAAAATATACCTCAACATACACTCAGCTTACTGAAACCAGCACCATGATTTTTAATATTCAATTAGCATTTATGTGTTATGCAATTAACTTATGATATGAGTTGCTTAAGAATACTACCTACTTATGAACCAGTACTATGCAATGGGCCTCCATGAAAATTAGGTATTCCAGTATCCTGCTTCACTTTGACTCAGAGATTTTCTTTGATCATCTGCAGTGCCTGTAGATACACAGATTCAAAGACTTAATCATAATGACCCCCAGGTTCAGATGACAGAAACCCCAATTAGCTTTTTAGATTTTT